TCCCTCTTCTTTTTAACGCTAATTAGCAGCAGTCTCCTTTGTTTATTGATTTCAAATTCTGTACAAGCCTGCTCCCAGCCCATGACAATCCCTGTATTAGGCAATATTAAGGTCAAGCAACACAGCCCATAGCCATTAAATTGGTTGATTGCTACTGAAATTTGCCCAGCGGGGTCACACTGTGTTGAGTGAGTAGTGGGATTCAGGCCAAGTCCTACATTAGGCAAAAAAGTCCTGTAATGAGACCAGAAGTTTGACTTTACAGCCCTATTCTGAGACCACCAGGAATGTGAAACCTTTTGGAGACCACCTGCTGTAACAAGCCCCAAGCAGAAAAAGCCGAGAGCCTCCCTTTTCTTTTGACTTAGTTATTTTTCTAGCATGAGATGCAAAACTTAGCTTTTGTGTAATGTCAAATAAAAAGAAGAAAATAATAATAGAGGAAAATATCTAGGTGTTTTTGAGAGGCTTACAGAGCTTTTTGTGCATTGAGAGGTAGGACCACTCCTCTTACAGAGCACAGCTAAGTGACTTCACCAGGTCACACAGTAAGTCATTGGCAGAAGCCAGGAATTGATGCTTCCCAATTTTTAATACAGTTTTTTAATCAGTGCACTCAGCTGCCTGCAAAGAAAGCAGCAATCGGGGCTCCTGGGAAGAAACCAGAAGCTGAGTCAGACACTCAACAACCTACCGACAATCTCCACTCCCATACTTATGTGAGACTAAGTTTTGCAAGCTTGCTCTCATACCTTTGCTTCCAAAGACTGGTAAAATCAACCAGACCCTGCAGACCAGAATATGTAAAGAGAAAAAAAAAAATCCCCTTTTTGCTGGACATTTATTTCAGCTGTTGGGTGAAATAACTAACCTGGTCTGATGTAGTCTCCTGCAAATCTAATTATAGCAGCATCTGGGGTTTTTTGTCTGTACAGTTGAACAGTTGTTAGGCTGCTTTCTGAAGAAAAAAGGATTTGTATCATTAAATTCTGCATGCATGTAGGTGTGTATCTGTCAGTTCCCTCTGAAACCTGTGAATACCTTGGCCAATTTCAACTAATAATTGAGATTAAAGTGCTCAGAGGCATAAAGTTTCTACATGTTTTCTGAGAACAGCGTTTGGGAAATTAGCCACAATCTAGCAATTGTAAAATGGACTACAAAGATATGTGGTGGTTTGTAAGCAGTAGGCCCCAACATTAAATGATAGAAGCAATAGAAAGGAAGAGATGCAGAGCTTTGCAGTGCAGCGCTGGTGGAGCTGTGGGTGTTTGGTTCCCACTGCTGCTGTGGGACCCGTAAGCGGCCATTGGTGTGGCTGTCTGCCTGGGAAACAGGACAACAGCAACCCCTTCTCCTAGCCGGTACAGAAAGGCTATAAGGACAGAGAGCCATCTCTTATTACAGATATTGTGCAAACCATTTCATTACGGAGGTCCTGACTTGACTAGATAAAATATCTAGTAAGAAGTACCAATGGCTGCAACTTGTGCCTCTGAATGCATCGCGTGCTCATCTGTGCACATGTAAACACAAAGATCTCCCATGAACAGTTCACCAAACCCTTACGTAGCCATTCAGATGAAGAAACTATGTGAACATAAACTATTATCATTAAATGGAGACGGTTTATGCTTAAATCAGCTCCCCTATAAGCCCTGAACAAAGAATTCATGCACAGCCCTAAAGCACGCTTTGCTGTGCTTACAAATATTTTAGCGACATCGTACAACTTTGGAGCTGTTGAAAGAGCCATGAAAATAAAGCGTCAGGGGATGCGTTTCCTGTGCTGAACGGCAGATCAGCGAGCAGGGAATCTGCTAGCAAGATGCGTTTCTGTGCCTCCAGCACAAGAAGGCGGCAGTTCAGCGGGGACCTCTTGTCCCTGTCCCCTTCTCAGCAGCACGTCCCTGGGGTGCTGGCTCCTGACGTTTCCCTCTCCTCACCTGTGGTTTTTGTGTGCCATTGTAATGAAGACTTTAGCTTCTGGACTCCCTTTCCTGCTTCGTCTACTCAAACTCGTAAATTTTTAAATTTTTCTTTTTCCAGGGGAGGGCTTTTAACATTTTAATGTGGACCAGATTTGGATTGCCTGGAGGAGAATGTGCCTAATTCTGGTCAAGGAGAAAACAACGTGGCATTATTTTCTCTCTAACCTGTACGATGTTATTTCTTTGCACTGAAGTCACACAGAAATATATCTTCTGGAGGAAAATAGCCCCACTGCCTCTCCGGGTTGTTTCTGCTTGTGCTATCTGGGCCGGGGGTGAGAGGCATGATCTTCTCGGGTGGACTTTTCAGCTGAACGCTTCACTAGACCTTACACTTATCTGGGGTAAAAGGATGAGTGAGCATCCATTTAATGCCATTTGTAAAAACCCTGTCTTGCTGTTAGGGAGATTTCATTTGGTTAAGTCCCGTACATGGTATATAAACCATCTGTGTATGTGTGTCTTAAAGCTGTTCAAGGCTTTTTCCACCAGAAATGCCAGTTTGTTGATATCAACAAACTCATTAACTCAAAACGTGTTTTTAAACAGTCAAAAGGGGTCTTTTTGCCCTGCGTTCAAATATGAAAAATGTGGTTTCAAGTTCACTTTTCATTTAGAAATGCGAGTTATTATGAATCCCAGCTGTTTGGGTTTTGCCTTCCAATTTTCAGTCACAGATTTTAAATCTCCAGCAGAGGCAAGTGCAAGGGCAGTCGCGGGAGCACAGAGCAATAACAGGGCAGAGCCTGGAGTCTGAGGAAGGAGTGGGCAGGAGCTGGAGCAGAGAGATGCTGGGAATAACAGAGGAGGCAGCTGAGAAAGCAAGGGTGTAAAATTGGGACCAAAACTGCCATCCTGCAGATGCTCAGAAGGTGACTCCACTGCTCCTGACTTATACCAAGAAGCTGAAACCGCTCTGGTGGGAGCATCTGTTCCCCTCTCCATCTCCTGGTAGGTATGAGGGACCGACTCCTGTGGCCATGCCACGCTGCTGCAGGGAACCAGCAGCTACCTGCTGTGGGAAAGATGTTTTTCAATTTTCACATATTTTTAAGCCATACGGTTTCAGGAGCTCAAAGAGTATTAAGATCACAATCAAACACTAGATAAAACAATGTGTCAGAATTAAGGTTGCTGATGCGAGCCCCCGCTGGGTCTCTGTGCCATTGCTGTGGCAATGCTCTCCATCGGTCACAGGCACCCTCCAGCTCCTGAACCTCTTGCTCGGCTGTCCCTGAGCCTATGGCCCCATCCCATGGCCAGCCACGGCTGGATGTTTCTCCCTTTCCCAGTGGAAGTCCGTTTTCCCATCCGATCTCGCTCAGCCCATCCTGAAGGCGGCTGCTCCAAAGGGAAGGATGCTTCGCACCCCTGTGCCCCATTCAGCCAGGGTTGCTTCTAGGGAAGCAGAAGCCACTGAAGTAACTACTATCTCTGAAACAGCAGCCAAAAGAGAAGTTAGAAACAAACGGCGGCCAGCCCACATCCTCTCGCCATTTGGACTGAAGGATCCACGCCTCCCCGCAGAAAGAGCCTTCCCTGCAGCTCGTCCCATGCAGTCAGGGTGATCGTAAATCCTCCCCTCATTTATGAGCTATGAATAGGGCCCTGTCTGACCTAACTAGGGCATGGAGAAGCTATTAGACTTCAGAGCAGGAGCCTTGAAACACATGCCTGGATTCATCAAAGGAATAATGGAAAATATTTTGTTCCACATGGATTTTAAGTTACAATGTTATTTCTAGCAATTAGGGATTTGCAAACTGTAGATGTGCTTTTCAGTATTGTGGACGAAGGGGATGTATCTTGTGATTTAAGCACAAGATTGAGAGTTGAGGACTTTGGTCTGCTTCACAGGCATGCGGCAGAGTGAGCATGGAGAAATCACTCTGTCTCTTTACACAGGTAATTCTTCCTGCGATAACAGTCTGTGGCTGAACGTGTACCAGTATCTGTTGCCGAATAGCTCAAAAGTGGCACTGAAGGGAGAAATAATAATGAGCTTACAAACAAAATGAAACGGGCTTCTAGTACTTGAGCTACAGTGAAATCAACACTGTTCACAGTTGGAGCTTATGGTTCCTTCTCACATCCTCACTTGTCTGTCACTTCCTACCTTCACCACCACAGTGTCGCATTTTCTAAGGATGTCAAATGCAAGTATAATTAAACTTCCCTTTTATTCCTTCCCAGCTATCTTGAGATAGAATTAGATACTCTGTGTATGTGTGTGTGTGTGTGTGCATTTAGCTCTGCATATCTTGGATCCCATCAGGAACTGCATTTCAAAACACTGATCCAATTCCTGCTAAACTTGTGTCTTCTTCTGGTCTGTCCTGATTTGCTTCCTGTTGTACAATTTGAATGGGATGTAAATCTAATAGGGTATCTATCTGTGGCAAAAAGGACACCGAATTTTTTCACATCTCCCTGGTGCACGTCAAATGGCAGATGGTGACTTTGAATCAGGTTTTATTTGCTAGGGAGACAACATATTACCAGGATCCAGAATTTAAAAGCAAATGAAGGAGAGAGGAATGATCATCATTAGATAAATTGTAAATAGCATTGAATGGAGGACTCAGAAGATCTCCTAGATGCTTCCATGCCGAGGCAATGCCAAGGAGTTCTCCTTTCTTTGCAGTCTTCTGCACAGACAGTTACATTTAAGTACAATTATTTTCTTTCATTAAAATACATCATTTCTGTTTTTTTTTTTTATATGAAAACCACCTAGTTTATCTGTGAACCATAAACTGTAAGGTCCAAATAACATACAACTTTCCCCTTTAAAAAAATGGTTGCTTCTGTTACTCCTGCCATTACTTTATCCCCTAGCAAGGAATTACGGAGAAAAATGTTGTTAAGATGCTGTAAACATTCGAGAGTGTCTGTGCTTTAAGAGCTGGAACGACCCATAGTCAGATACCATCTAAAAGGACAGGAAATTGGATGAAAGAGTTTTTTAAACCCTTGTATTAAGTTTTATGAGAACATAATCAGTTCATCCCCAAAATGGTCACTAAAAGAGAAGTACTGCACTTGTAGATTCTAGCTTTCGGTGTATTTTTCATCAGCAACGCAGGTTTCTCTGTTATTGCAGTCATTGTCATTCCCCAAACAAAATCAGATCATAGTTCTAGATTGTTCAAGCAACCTGCTATGTATTTGTATAAATATGTAGCTTCAGACTTAAGCTGCAATGGCTAAATCAGCGCTGGCCAGATAGATGGGTAATAGCATTATTACTACATTGTGGTTTTCATGTCATTCCTAGGTCTGCTTAGCTAGGGTATCCATTACAGCCTGCCTTCAGATTTATTGCATCAAGCTTGGAGCAGTACATACGTCTTCCAGTGGGCAACAGTTCTGAAATATTCATTCTTCCAAGTGTTTGCCAGTTCAGTCTGATTTACCTTTTTTTTTTTTCCTTTCAACTTCCTCCTCATTTATCATCTCAGACAGCTTGTATTGGACCAGGTTACTTAATTGGTTTGGCAGGACTTTCTGGGATCCTTTTTCTAATACAAGCAGTCATGAAAGCTGTTAGGCTGTCTTCTTTTATTTTTTTCTAGAAAATATTTTGATCCTAAGGCTAAAGCTTTGTATCCTAGGCAGTGCCAAGTAGGAATGTCTCTAAGAACTTGTCATTGCCATTTAGCCACTGGAGTCCCATGCAACGTGTGTTTCCTTCGAATGCCTGCCATGGATCCAAAATGCCATGGGTTAATGTCTTTGTGGTGCACAAGTAATGCTTCCTTTGATTCTTATGTAAAAGTTGTCCTGAAACTCATCAAAAGTCAGTAATGCTACAATACACAGAATAGTCAGAATTTTAAAATGTAGGTAAACTTTGTGTGGGGGAATGTGGTGTTCTCTTTTTTAATGCACCGGGGAAGTCAAAAGAGAATTTTGCCTGTAGTGTCTATTCCTCTAAATGGTGTCTCTTGTTTTATCTTGGTTCTAGGAAATACGCCTAGGAAATCAGCTCTTAGGTCTGCCTTCTGGAGGGAGTAAGTTAAGGATCACTAAAAGTGATGGGCAAATCTCTCTCCTTTGCAGAAGGAGTATTAGACCAAGGGGAAGCGTTAGATCAAGGGGAAGACGTAAATAAATAGGAAGGACACATTTGACCAACAAGACAATCTACTGAAGGAGTTCACCTGGTGCTTGAAATACCACTGTGGCAAGAATTAACAAAAGTTCCCTTTCTCTACTACTCAAAGAAATAATTTTACCTTCTGTGTCCACCTTCCCTTTGAGCAAAGCCAAATAAAGTTGCCATCTCTAGTCACTGAATGCTTTCTGAAAGCTGGCTTGGCAAGGCTATAAAATATAAATTAATTACATTTTATTGATGTTAATTAAGAGACATCGTCTCAGAAAATGCACGACTAGGGTTTGGTCAAAATATAGTGGAAGTTTTTTAATAGGATTGTGTGTACAGGTTTTACTTCCATCAGAAAATGGTATTTATCCTTCAGATTTTTCAGACGGAGCATTCCGTTAAGGCCACATCCAAAATGAAGTTATAATGGTGAAATATGAGTGCAAATATTGACTTTTTTTTTTTTTTTTATATCTGTTCCAGGCAGAATATGAAATTGCTCCAGATGAAAAGCTGGGAGAGAAAGGAAAGGAAATCATGATGAAATACCTCACCCCAGAGGTAAGAAGCAGCCAAAGTGGCATTACTGAAGGAATGCTGCAAGGCACACCTTTGCTAAACAAGGTTGTTATAGGCTTTGTAAACCAGCATCCTAAAATTTATGGTGGCAATCTCCAGTGAATAAACCTGCAAGTCTTATACAAACAGTCAGAGAGAAAAAAAAATATAATCCAATCCGGCAATTGACTTCTAAGGATGAACTTGAGCTTACCAGGGGCTTAATTCATCTGTGGATGAGCAGGAGACTTCTCTGGTCTCTTCTTGGTGTGCAAAGCTCTACATCTGTGGTGTAATGCAAGAGACCTCAGCTATTATCAACAGATGCCACAATTATTTCCTATCCAGCTCACAAGAGGTGTGGTATTCATATACTGTTATGTAGAAAGCACCAGCAAAAATGGTCTTTGGTAACAGACACTGTATTTTGGTACAAAAATTCCCACTCCTCCCCCCCCCACCATTTGCCCCGGGGTAGCCAGGGACGTGCAAGACTGACATGGGACAGCATGTTTTGGAGCGGAGAGGTGCTATCACCCATTCGTGTTTCCACCGCTGTTGGTTCCTCAGCGTTGCATCTGGGGGCTGTCGGAAGGAGAGGAGCTCATGGTAGCAGCTGTGTCCACAGGGTGGCACTCCAAACAGAACTACAAATCTGCTGCCGGAATTTTGGACAGGCTGCACTGGGACTAACCCTTTTTTTGGGGGGGTTGATCATTTGCTGACCGCGTTTAACCTTTGCAACAAAAGTCACTGCCAGTAAGCAATAAACATCCAACATCAAACACAAGAACAATCCTAGGATTTTTCCTAAGTTGCTTTCATAAGGATAATCAAGATGTACAATTGCTGCTTCAACTGTTTTACAAGAGAAATACATTTGACCTTCAGGAGAATTAATTGCATTTTTGGCAGATGTCTTTCTAAAGCGTTTAAATGGTACAATATGTTTTGGAGGTGCAGGAGCAGAGCAGACCACTTTTTTTCCAGTCAGTCATTTTCCTACAATAAATTTCAATGCATACTTTCGGTTATCTCAGACTGCATTTTGGGATCTGGTTTCATTTACTGAGCCTGGCTAGTTTCATGTGCAGCCATTTAGCACTGCCAGTATGAGTTCCTGCTGCCCATTCATTAGGGGCATGAAGTTCCACTGCTTTTTAAATCCACCGAAATGACCATTTGTCTTAAATTTTCTGTCAACAGAGGAACGAGGGACAAATACTGAGGGAAAATATTTCCCACTGCTCTAGTTCTCATCTGGAAATGGAGAAAGGCATTTTGCTGATAGTAGGGCTAGTGAGAGAAGGATAGTACTGTTTCGTTTCAGATGGTCTTGGTGCAGGTTTCCAGACGCCAAATCCCTTCCCTGCTGTCCCATGGCACTCCTGCCATCCTTGTCCATTTGCCAGCGGCCCCATAGTGCAGCAGAAGCACATGGAATAGTTTAGTGAGGTAAGTGAATGTGCAATGAAGACCAATCTGAGAGCAGCTGCTGCTTCATCAAGAAAAAATGGTGGTGTTACAGGAAGGGAAATTACTGGGATGCCAGAGCTGGAGTTTCCATTCTCTGCCATGCTCTGCACTTCGTATTTGACCTGTGTACCTGGTTTCTCAGTATGTAAAATGGGCACAGGATATTTACAGTCTGTTCTGAAACTCTTCTGGTATTTGCAAGGTACCTTAATATCTTTGAGCAGAAGGAAACACAAAGTTGTGCTCCTTCACTTGTAATCTAAAACTGCCTCCCTGGTGGTGGTCCTTTAATGTCTGCATTGGTCTCGCTGCACTTTTTTTTCTTAATGGGAAACTTCTGCGTCTTCTCAGAAGGATGTTTAAACCCTGTGTAGCAGAAAATACTTGGGTTGACTCAATACACAGGTTGACTGTGGCATAGCAATGGGTTGAATGCGAGATTCTCTAACAGGTCTCCCACGCAACAAATACTTAAAAAACTAGAGCAAGGCCTGGATTAATTTCATTTCTTTTTAGATACCTAACTAAGGTACTCAGGTTAGGAGTTCAGACTGCCTACTGTCCTTTCGTGTCAAGAAACAGAAATAAGAACCTCCAAAGGACAGATTTTAAGCCATTAGAAGTCAGTGATTTGAAGCCAAGTTAGATGTTTGCAGTCAAGAGGGATGAATCTGGACCCAAATGTCCTAATGGGATATCATCCTGGCCAGCAAAGAAACCTCCTTTTCATTAGGAGCTGCATTTCTCCAGTTAGTTATCAATCCCTTGAAAGAAACAAATTGTCACTGGTTCCAAAGTCTTCTGCTTTCAGAGGAATGCTTCTTTTAAGTAGGTGTGTGTCTCTGCTTCAAAGAACCTGATTGTCTTGGTATAAAAATAGTGTGACATACAGCTTGACTGATAGAATAAAATTATAGGTTTAGTTCTTGGACAGATAATTCAGTCTTATAATGTGAGAAGTATTTTTCCCAGAGTGCATGATCAGAAGCAGAATGAAAACAAAAAGTAGACTTCATGCTCTTTAATATTTATAAATGATTTTTATTTCTTGCTTAGATTTTTAGATGTCATACATATTTAACATACAGTGTGTCAGTATATCATCATTCGAAAGTGCATTCATTTGCATAGGGAACGTGCACTTTATTTAATAAAACATATACTACTTGCGCAGCAGAAAGGAAAAGAAAACACTTTCCCAGATGAACAGACATCACACCAGTACTTAGAGCCTCGTGTGACTCACGCAGCCACTGTCTGCAAGATGGTGCTACACCACACAGTTAGCAGGCTCAAACGTGTGGGAGCAGTGAATTCCTGCGTGGAAAGCTCTGTGTGAGAACGTTCAGCGTCAGCCCCAAGGCCGCTAAACAAGCTCAGCACTTGCCAAGATGGTCGAGGGGGGAGGCAAGTAATCACAATTCAGGCTCTTTGCAGCTTTAACATCCTGAACAGCCCCTATGTTCTCGTGGGGGAAGTTGAGAAGAGGTCTAGCAGCCTTTTCTTGTGGTTGACGCCAGGGACGGCATGAGCGGGTCAGGCTTCCACCATCTCCCTGGCCTACAGGCAGCAGCGATGACAAATTCTGAATGTGTCCTGGCACCTAGAAGGGAAAACAGGTGGTTTAGGCCTCTTGAAGAAGTGGCATGTAGGAACAACCTCCCTCATCACTGGAGGTTTTCAAGATGCTGTTGGACAGGGTGCTAGATAATCTCATCTAGGCTCCCTTTCCCATGAAAGGCTGGACCAGCTGATCTTTAAAGGTCCCTTCCAACCTGAGCTGTTCCATGATTCTCTGTACTCAGGTCCTCACCTAGGAAGACATTAGTATGCCCTCTCTCTTGCCTAAAGTTCGTTGAAACATTCGTATCCAACAGGCCATTCTGAACTATTTGATGGGAGGGAAATGTAAGGAGTACATGTGATCTTCACGCTGAGGATGCCGAAATCTGAGCGTTTTCATGGCTTCCTTAGCAACTTCACTTGAGTGGTGAGCAGGAGAGTGAAAACCCACAGAAGAGGTGTCCTGTAGCTGAAGACACCCCCATCCTTGAAACATGCTCTGAAGAATTGTTAACCTATTTCTCCAAGGAGGTCCAACTGTGAGCTGGCTGCTCCTCAGGGGCTATGTGCGGATGAGCCCTGGTGAGAGGGCCTTGTCCGTTAAGAGGAAAAGACCTAACGAGGCATGTGCCACCTTGACCATTAAGAGGAAGAGACCCAACGAGGTGTGCACCACTTCAGTACTGTAATCTGAAGGGAACTCCACTTGCAACCTGCCTTTGCTTAACAGGAGCAGCGCAATGGTTGCCACACTGGCAAGATCAATGTTTCTTGACTAGAGTCTTGCTTCTTCAAGAGAGGCTTTAACAGTTTCCATGAAAAAGGCACTTAAAGCTGCCTTCTTGACTTAATAAGCCCATAGGGCAAAAGTCCAACCCACAGGAAGTCTAAAATTTCTGAGGTTGTGAAATATGATGGTAAAACTGCTAAAATGAATTGGTCACAAATATTTCTTTCCTGGCTTTTTCTAATCTCAACAGTTGAGTGGGAATGTTTCAGTTTTAGGTTCCAGTTCTGTCTGTACATGGAAAAGCCCTCAGTGCTTTGTGGAACAGTTGAGTTAAGCTGAACCCAGCCTGGCTTCATTACCTGGCTGCTTCCTTTACTGGAAGAGCAGAGAAATATGTTTACCTTTTTACTGCTTTTAAATTAGAGTTTTGCATCTCCATGCAGCATTTTTGCCTTCCTGCCTGACAGCTGCCATGCCATTCTCTACTGAATCACTAGCCCATTATTTTCTTTTTCACTGTAAATCACCTTGAGATACTTTGAGAGACAGTATATAAAACTAAATTGATTTGAAATGGCTCTTAAGACAGTCTCCATATGCCATTATAGTTTATATTTGGACTCAGCTGGGCACTGAAAATGTTACTGAACAGGATGTCTAATGTGTATTGTTATCCCCATTAATATACTTCATGGAATATGAAGAACAGCAACAGCATTAGTTTTCTTATCTGAATTCCTTTTCGGTCTCCTTTCCTTCAGGAAATGCACAGAATAAAGGCCATGTTTGCAATTTCTTTCTTTGCTGCAAGAGGTTAGCTGGACGCAGCAATAACCTCCTTACTCCAGTCTAAGGCTAGCAATGGGTATTTTGCTAAATGAGAATAAGTCTTTGTTTTTATGAACAATTATAGGATAAGGAAGGGAGGGAAACATCCCGTGAAAGGGAAACTGGCTGATCAGCAGTGCCTGGCCTTCCATTTGTCTACTGGCTGAAATGTGCTCTTCTCTCAAATCAGTTCTTTATGGAAAAGAAAACATCTATGTAATATGGGTGAGATGAAATTAAAATGATATATGAACCCTTCTGCTGGATAAAGCCATGCAGCTGAGTCCAGGCTCCTGCTCACAAACACCCTCTCTCAGCTCTGTGCATTGGCAAAGAGTAGTTTTCTTTTTGCACACTGCTGCTTTAATCTTGATGCCGAGGATCTTTGCCTTCGGTTGCTCTCTCC